ATTTTTTCTTTGTGTTTAATTTTTGATAGTTTGATTAATATGTGTCTGGGTGTGTTTCTCCTTGGATTTATCCTGTATGGGACTCTCTGCGCTTCCTGGACTTGATTGACTATTTCCTTTCCCATATTAGGGAAGTTTTCAACTATAATCTCTTCAAATATTTTATCAGTCCTTTTCTTTTTCTCTTCTTCTTCTGGGATCCCTATAATTTGAATGTTGGTAGGTTTAATGTTGTCCCAGAGGTCTCTGAGACTGTCCTCATTTCTTTTCATTCTTTTTTCTTTATTCTGCACTGCAGTAGTTATATCCATTATTTTATCTTCCAGGTCACGTATCCTTTCTTCTGCCTCAGTTATTCTGCTATTGATTGCTTCTAGAGAATTTTTAATTTTATTTATTGTGTTGTTCATCATTGTTTGTTTGCTCTTTAGTTCTTCTAGGTCCTTGTTAAATGTTTCTTGTGTTTTCTCCATTCTATTTACAAGATTTTGGATCATCTTTGCTATCATTACTCTGAATTCTTTTTCAGGTAGACTGCCTGTTTCCTCTCATTTGTTTGGTCTGGTGGGTTTTTACCTTGCTCCTTCATCTGCTGCATATTTCTCTGTCTTCTCGTTTTGTTTAACTTACTGTGTTTGGGGTGTCCTTTTCACAGGCTGCAGGTTAGTAGTTCCCATTTTTTTTGGTGTCTGTCCTCAGTGTGTAATTTTGGTTCAGTGGGTTGCGTAGGCTTTCTGGTGGAGGGAACTGGTGCCTGTGTTCTGGTAGATGAGGCTGGATCTTGTCTTTCTGGTGGGCTGGACCACGTCCGGTGGTGTGTTTTGGGGTGTCTGTGATCTTGGCATGGTTTTAGGCAGCCTCTATGCTAATGGGTGGGGTTGTGTTCCTGTCTTACTAGTGGTTTGGCATCAGGTGTCCAGCACTGGAGCTTGCTGGTCGTTGAGTGGAGCTGGGTTTTAGTGTTGAGATGGAGATCTCTGGAAGAGCTCTCGCTGATTGATATTATGTGGGGCCAGGAGGTCTCTAGTGGACCAATGTCCTGAACTCAGTGCTCCCACCTCAGAGGCCCAGGCCTGACACCCAGCCGGAGCACCAAGACCCTGTCAGCCACACAGCTTTTGGGAAATCTGAGGTCTTCTGCCAGCATTCAGTAGGTGTTCTGTAGGAGTTGTTCCACATGTAGGTGTATTTTTGATGTATTTGTGGGGAGGAAGGTGATCTCCACGTCTTACTCCTCTGCCATCTTAAAGGTCCTCTATCTGTCTGCATATTTTAAGAAAATGCTAGAGACATTATATGTATGCCATTACAAAAGTATTAGGAGGCCTATGTATTCTACTGTTTACCATTGCATTAAGCTGCACAAAGTTTATGCATTTTTTAATGCATTTTTCTCTTCTTTCTAAGCTCAGTATTCTTGTGAGCTAACATTTCCTGAATGGTTTCTTCTCTGCTCCCTCCCTCCCCCCCCTTTTTTTTCCCTTTTTTTTTTTTTTTCCTTTCATCTTTCCTTCTCTTTCTTTCTTTTTCAGAAACCACCTTATCTATTTTTAGGTGTTTCAAATTCTTAAAATGTGAACTGTTGGGTGGTCTGAAATTTGGCCCTCTAATGACTCTGGGCTTTCATGGCCTGCACATGATTTTATTTCAGCAGAACTTCATGTATTTGAACAGTAATAAACAACACATAGTCTAAGCAGTTCTGAAAACTCTTTTCAAAAAAAAAAAAGATGAAAGGTTGTGACTGCTCACCTGGGGCAGCAGGAAAGAGAGAGAAAGAAGGGGAATTGCTGCTGGGCTGTGCTGGGCTGGGCTGTGCTGGGCTGGTCAACAACCATGCTCCCCTCCACCTGCAGGGCAGAGGCCCGTGGACCTGGGGTCCTTGGGGAGTCATGGGAGGAGTGTCAGTCAGTGGTCAGTGTAAAACGGGTCCTGGTCCCCCTCAGAAGGCGCAGGAAGAACAACAGACAGAGTTGGTGATGTCAAGTAAACCTTAGGAAGCCAATGAGGAAGGGGCTGGGAGAGGGACAACGTGAGAACAAGGCCTTGTGGCTGGAATCTCAGCTGGAGCGATGGACCAGGGGGCTCCAAGGACCCCACAAAGAGCCCCGGGATAAAAGTCACCTTGAAACACCTGCCAGTCTCAGAGAGAGTGGAGCCATCTAACACCGGCACCAGTCAGGGGAAACTTTCTGAACCCTTCTGACACTCAGGCAGAAGTCTGGAGGTGGGGAGGGGAGGGAAAAAAGAAGGGGGCACCCTTCCTGGTCCTTTTTCAAGACAGCCTGAAGTCGACCTAACAGACAAAGAAAAAAGATTCAATTCCAAAGTGCACTGAAACTTACATTTCTTATGACTGGCCATCCTACTCATTATAGGTCTTTAAAATGTGATCTTAAGACTTATTAGTCAAGGCTGAACAGAAAAGACTTGGGGTCTGTAGGAGATTTTATCCCCCATTAAATATGTTTAAAGGCACAAGGGAAAAAAGAGTTTTTTCTCATTTCTCATTTCTCATTTATAACTCATGAGCTGTTCAGCATTCCTCTTAATTAAATGCTTACGGATTGATTTTTTTGTGTTTTCAAAATCCTGTGAAAATCAAATTTAAGTAAACTATCTTCTAATAACAAAAGTTTGAACTTTTCGTAAGTTCAGTTAAATGAAACTTGCATTCTAACATTCCTTTAAAATATAGCCTGTAATTTCTGTGTCCGTTCTGTTACCTATGAGGATGATTATAGATCACATAAATCAGTTTGATTTAGTTTTATTTTTTCTACTCATCCAGCTTTTTATAACACACATATGCACAGCACTGTGCAGGGACTGTGGGAGACTCTAAGATTGTAACACGTTCCCTCCTTTCACAGAGCTTGAAATACTTTTGGATTAACAAAGATTGTATGAAAGTAATCCAAGTAAAGTAAAATATAAGTACAGGAGGGTCCAGTCAAGGGTCTAAATATATGGTACATAAATGGCTGTGGGCAAAAATGTAACCACTGTGCCACCAGGTAAATTTATCTCAAAATAGACACAAAAAGAGCACTTTGGGCTCTGGAGTAGATGAGGTTAAATGCAGCATAAAAATTTTAATCACCTTACAAAGGTCATCATTAATCAATTCATACAAAAATTAATTACCTAGTGCCAAACGTGAGCCAGGCATCGTGCTGTGCTTTAGACATACGTTGGTAAATCAAACAGCTTCCCTTCCCTCGTGAAGAGCATGATCTAATGAGATTCCAGCCTAATATGCTGTCCAAGTCAATCTCTCATTATGTAAAGTTATGCAATTTGTGGGTCATTCCGTATGCCCACACTTTCTAAATAGTCTCTCTCAATGATGACAGTGCTGTTTGATTTTGTCATGCGAGGGTAATTTCTTTGGTTATTACTTTTTACTTACAGCCAACACTTACTGAGAAGTCACTTATGTATCAAGCAATGTTATGAGCATCTTATGTGTCTTTACTCACTTAACCTTTAAAAAGCCCTGCGATACGGATACTATTTTTAACCCCATTTTATAGATCAGAAGACCTAGACACAAAAAATAAATGTAACCTGCTCACTGCCTAGCTGGGATTCAGATCCAACATTATCAATATAGGAGCCTTTGATTAAATTTAAGAAGCACACACTTAGGCGTGGAGTTAAATGGGAAAATAGGACAGACATGTTAGTAATAACAAAAAACAAGAATGCACTAAGTTATCAATTAAAAAACAGAAAGTGTCAGATTGGATTTTAAAAACCAGATTGTAGAAGTGCTTTGGAGTTTAGACGTCAATCTTTCTAAGCCTCAGTGTTGTCTGTGAAAGAGAGCTAAGTCTATCTGCCTTGAAAACCTCAGGAGATTGCTGTAAACACAAACACATAACGTGGATGATGGTGCTGTCGAAGCCACAGAGTCCTATACATGTGTCAGTTTTTGTTAACACTATTTGTTCATTTGAACTTCGTTAAAAAGCAATAGCCATCACTCTTAAAAAGTGTTATAGTTCTTTTTGTTACCTGGATTAAATGAATTCTAACAATTCTCTAATTAGATACCTTTTTTTGACTTAGAACCAGGAAAAAGAGTAAAAGAAAGTAAAGAAACTAGAAACCAGAACTTGTTATTGGATAGATTTCATGGTTTATACTAGACTTGTGGAGAGGAGGTTATGGGACCTTCCATTCTCTTCAGAAGCCCTCCACAGAGAGAGTTGTCTGGACTGTCTGTGTGTCTAGGGATTACGGGGAGGTGCAAAAAATGGAGAAGGCAGATCGCTGTTTCCAAGTAGAATAGAGTGAAATTAGCAGCCCAGGGCAAGATAAACAATATCTGGGAACTAAGTCCCCAAGTAAATAATTTGTGTCTAGCATTGTTCCCAATAGCAATCTAATTCTCTTTTAAAAATATTTTTATGATATTCAGTGTCACATATATATCTGACAATGATAGTTTGAGTCAACCACTCTTTTTGGCAAATAACCTATTTCTAGAGGGAGAATTCAAGGTTCACCATGACTGCACTTCTGTGCACCATACGTGCAGAATGATGGAATCGGTATTAGCTCCTCAGTCTCTAGTCACATTTCGCTCTGTTACACTCCTACACCTGAGCCGGTTCTGCACCTCCAAAAGATTATACATGAAGACTATGTGAAAGTTCTATTTTTGATCTGAATATATGTAATTTCAATCTATTCTTTATCACTGAACAGGGGTCCACTGTGAAGAGGACGTCGATGAGTGCTCTTCAAGCCCTTGCCAAAACGGTGGTACCTGTGAGAACTTGCCTGGGACTTACACTTGCCGTTGCCCATTTGATAACCATTCTGGAGCATTTTACGGAGGAAGGAACTGTTCTGATTTGCTCCTCAGCTGTACTGATCACCCATGTCTAAATAATGGAACATGCGTCCCTCACCTCCGCAATGGCCAGCATGGATTCGGCTGCCTGTGTCCCTCTGGCTATACTGGGTCACGGTGTGAAACGGTCACCACACTTTCTTTTGAGGGTGATGGCTTCCTGTGGGTCCCAAGTGGCTCAGTGACAGCCAAGGACTCCGGTTGTACAATAGCCCTCAGGTTTCAGACTGTCCAGCCAGTGGCACTTCTACTCTTCCGAGGTGACAGGGACGTGTTTGTGGTACTGGAGCTGCTCAGTGGCTACGTCCACTTATCAGTTCAAGTCAGGGATCAGCCAAAGGTGGTCCTGTTCATCTCCCACAGCACCAGCGATGGGGAGTGGCATGCGGTGGAGGTGACGTTTGCAGAGGCTGTGACCCTTGCCTTACTTGACGAGTCTTGCCTGGGGACATGCATCATGAGAGCTCCTTCTCCATTTGGAAGCGATGGGTCAACATGTGCTTTACAAAACTCCTTTTTGGGGGGTTTACCAGAGGGAACAGCCCACAGTGGTGTTGCTCTGCTTAACGTTTATAATAGACCATCCATACCTTCTCTTGTGGGCTGCCTCCAAGATGTTCAACTTGACTCGAATCCCATCACCCTGGAGAACATCTCGTCCGGCTGGTCATTAAATGTCAAGGCAGGCTGCCCGAGAAAGGACTGGTGTGAGAGCCAGCCCTGTCACAACAGAGGACGCTGCCTCAACTTGTGGCTTAGTTACCAGTGTGATTGCTACCGGCCCTACCGAGGCCGTAGCTGTCACAGAGGTGAGAGGGGCAGGGCGCCAGGAAGGCTGTGCCTCAGAGCAGAGCTGGGACAAAACAGCCAGGCCGTTCCTGCTGGTTATGAATCATCAGGAGCCCTCAGGACTCTGCGGCTGGCTGTCCACTGACAGGAAGAGGAAGAGGCTGATGATGTACCTTAATTAAATCTGAGTGGATTCATAGGACACCAGGGTTTCACTCATGCAGAGAAGTGAAAACTAAGCCCATAGCTCCCATCCAAATGGGTTTACACCTTGGTGTTTACAAAATGCTATTACAATTTTACCATTTGTTGTGTATCAGAAATTTATTGCAAATCTTATTTGAAAGAGGAGTAATCTTTTTGGAAAAACAGGACCGTTAGACATGAAACTAGTCAATGCCAAATTCTAGCACAATACCGCGTGCATAGTAGACTCTCAGTACGTAGTTACTTCCTTGCCCTCCTCTCTATGCAGTTCACACTAGCTCCAAAATCATGCTCAAGTTTAGCACTTTTACAAACCACCAATTTTATGCAAAGGTGTATTTTCCAGAGTTGCATTGGAGAAAACAGGTATTTTACCTACGTGTCCTAAGAAAAAAAAGAAAGAAAAAAGTTTTTAAAAAGTAACAACACTGAAACTTGGTAGATGCCATAAACTAATTGATCTAATTTCTCTAGCAAATCAGTATGAAATGCATTTCAAAATCCTTACTTCCGACATTGTTGCAAAGACTGCTGTTGATAGTGATCAATACATACCTGTTTCTTTTTATTATTCTCTTGCATTGCAAATGTTGGAAAGGTAATTGCAACAGACTGCTTTGAAGTGCAGCTGTAATTTACCCCAAGATTTGAGAGTAACGTGAAATAGGACAACATCTGGTAAATAGCCTTCTTTGCTTTATATGAAGTAAAATTGAAACCAGTCTTGGTCTATACCCTACTCCGTGTATGAAGGGCTAAGAATTATTAGAAGCTATTCACGGGTCTCCCCCTGACCACAATATTCATTACAAATCACGGACCTGCTCGACTATGAGGGCTGGCGTCTACTAGCTCTATGTAATATTTTAAAGGGAATGGCAAGTTGTTTTGTGATATTTTTAAAGGAGAAAAGGGGAGATTATGCTGAAGCAATGTTCACTTTTTGAAGAAAAATTTAATTGACCTAAGGCAATATTTTTACTACATATACAAAATAACAAACAGATGCTGACTCATTTTGACCAGCTTCCAAGTGCAGTGACCCATGAGGTTAATACTGACCGTGGGGATGCTAACTGTCCTGGTAGATAGATTCAAGGGATGCCAATCCAGTGGGTTCTGGTTTTCTTTAATTTATTTTTTCCAACTTGGAAAATCACAGAGTCTTTAAGCCCAGTTCCTGAATTGGTTAGCTGTCCCCTCTCTTCCTCCAGTTTCCTTTTCCCCCGGCTGCCCGCCACCCCTCCACTATTTGAAACTGTTTAATCCTCATGAAAATGCTTAGCTTCAGAAGATATCTTTTTAGGGAGTAAGTTCTGTAAAATCATCCCTTTCTGAAAATTCTTGGTATAATTTTAAGAAAAGTTATATTTCTCATATCACCTCTTAGTCATAAATTTAAAGTATTTTGTATTTGCTATCATCTTTGAGGAATGTTTGCTGGGGAGCTTATTCCCATCACAAAAGATGCTTACAAGCTGTAAGGACAACCTGGAATCTTCCTGTCATTGTACATAGATGTTCAGGAGGAGATGGGCTAAAAAGTACAAGGCAAAAACTTCACCCAATTCATGATCCTGGCTCAGCGTTTCCCAAACATGGTACCCATTGCAAGGAACAAGCAGACTGGATGGAGGATTTGGCTGGCTGACGAAACATGACAGACAGACGGGCTTCCTATATTTTAAAGTTGATTTTTTAAAAATGATCAAGTGTCTCAATAAGAAGAGTTCAGAGAAGAGTTTCTCAAAGCTTAGTTCCCAGAGCTGTCTGCAGGGTCATCACGGTGTATCTTATCGCCCTGGCTGTGTCCAGGAACGTGGAGCTTCCAGGATACTGTTCAGGATAAAGGTATCACCGACCTCGTCCCTTCTAGAGAATATTTGATTAAGAGAGGCAATTGACATATGTTTTATCTTCAGTCGTACATCTAAACTTTGACACTCTTATCTGCTTGGAATTAGAGTTTCTTAGATATAGAAGGAGCTTCACTCCATGACTGAATTTTTTACACTGTTTTGCACCCAAGTGTAGTGGCCCAAACCTCTGCTTACACACCTTCAGGAATGGGAAACTCACTCACACTCCATCTTCCCAGAAATCCCCTAGAAGTTGTCTTTTTTGTACTAAACTAATATATGATGACCTATAGCTTCCATTCATTGGCAGCATTGTAACTCTTGAAGCCAATGTCAACCTTACTTACATGTCTTCTTCTTGAGAACACAAATATTTGAAGAAAAGTGTCTTGTACCATCCAAGCCATCACTCCTATCATGCTAAACACACCCAGTTTCTTCTGATGTTTCCCACCTGACACCGTTTTCAGACACTCCATCAGCTGCTTGCTTGCTCTGGAATAAATCTGCTTATCTGGCTCCTAGATGTGCCTGACAGTGCAGAGTGACACAGGACTGTAACCTTCTCGTTCCAGAGAATGTCCTTCTATTCTGCAGCCTAATGTCCCATTGACCTTTGGGCAGCCACATTCTATGATTGGTTCACTTTGAGCTGTTCTCCCTCTTGGTGCCACAGAGTTCTGCTTTTTCCACCCTAAACCAATGAAGTACACTTAGACCCAAGTGGCTTTTATTTACTAAATAAATTTCTTCTTGTTGTAGTCCATCAATCATTAAAACTTGGTTATTTCTTATCCCTATTTGTCGTCCCTCTTCATGACACATCAACAACACATATGAGAATCATTCTTTCCGTGTCCACAGACAAGTCATATATGGCGTCAGGTGTTTCTAAAATCATGTAGTAAATCATGTGCTCTGACTACTTGCTTGTGATTTCTGAAGAATAGGACTGCTGGAGAGTCAAGCTTCTGAGAAAAAGAAACAGCTCTGTGTTCTGTCTGTCTTTTCATCTGGATCCACAAAGTGATGCTGCAGGCGTCCCAGGATGACCAGCGGGGACCACCCCTGAGGCAGAGCAATTCTGTGCATATTCCCAAACCTCGGGAACTTCAAGAGCCACATTTTCTTATTGAGCATTTTATCTCATATGAAAGTGCTGCCGTGCATTCAGAGATGTTAGCCTCTTCAAACGGATTGTTACATCTAACAATGCACTTTGAAAGCTACCTGTAGTTGCCTGGAGCAGGTGGTCTCCAAATGCAGATTCAAAATGTAACGTTCCTGTCGAAAATCAAGGCAGAATTCTGAAAATGCAGACTTTTATGCAGAAGGTCTTCAAACACAGATGGTTACCTAAGCAAGCTTCACTATAATTCAGCTAAAATAAAATATGTCCCACCTTTGCTCAAACTTCAGTGGAACCATATGACAACATTTAAACATGCTGGAATGTGCTTTTTTTCTGGCTAGGATTGGGATGTGAAGACTTGAAGATAGCAATATGTTTAAGACAGTGCTCTTGTCAAGTTCATCAGTGATTTCCAGATTGCAAGATTCAGTGGTCATTTTTCAGTCCTCATCTGCCTTGACCTCTCAGCAACAGTTACCACAGTTGAATACGCCCTCTTCCTGAAAACTCTTTCCTCACTAGGCTTATGGGGTGTCACTCTCCCTTCGTTCTCTTTCTGTCTTACTCTTTTATCATCTCCTTTACCTCCACATGTCTGATGCTTAAGGGTTCAGTTCTTGGACCTCTTCTTCTCTCTCTAGATTCACTCTCTTGGTGATCTCTTCCAATCTTAGGGCTTTAAATGCCACATTTACACTGACAAATCCAAAATTACTGTGACTAGCCCAGAATGTCTCCCCTGAACCTCTATATCTAACTGCTGACTAGAAATTTCCACCTGGATATCTAATAGGGCATCTCAAATTTAATATGGAATCTCATTTCTCCCCCAAATCTGTTCCTCCTGTTTTCTTCCCCATCTCTGCAAATGGAAACTCAGTGCTTCTAGTTACTTGGACCAAAAGCCTTGGAGAGCAACTTGCCCCAGAAAATCCTGGTTTTGGTTCTACCAAAACATTTCCAAAATCTGACCACTTCTCCCCATCTGCACCATGACCACTGATCCAAGCCCATCATTTATCTCCTGAATTTCTGCAGTAATATCTCTACTTTCTTCGGGGTTCTGCTCAAATATTACCTTCTCAGAGAGTTCTTCCCTGATGACTCCATTTAAAAGGACAGCTCCACTCCTACCTGCAGCTCTTCCCAGTCCCTTTCTCTGCCTGAGTTTTTGTATATCAAAGAACCTATCACCACCTGACATACTATATAACCTCCACCCAAATGGAATGTAAGCTTTAGGAGTACAAGAACTTGTGTTCCTACTATATCATCAATGATTTTGAAGGTCAGCATTTATTTTTATACTTCTCAAAGAGTTTTCTTGTGGTGATGCACATCGATAGCATTGCCACGTCAATGCATTAGAAATCTCTCTGTCCACAGGAAATGTTGGGTGAGTTCAGAACTCAGCTTTGCCCTAGTACTTTGTGCCCCATGCCTCTCCTTCACCCACCCAGGACCAAAGAAGGAAGAGTCCTCTTCCTTTGTTCAACTGCCTTGCCTCTTAATATTATTAGGGGTATCTTCCCAAAAGAGGATTTGCAAATCTAATTCTTGGTTTCTGTCCTTTACAAGGAACAGTTAGGTTTGATGCCATTTGTTTGAGCATGCCCCCAAATAGCAGCGATGACGATTGCTCAGTCTGCTTACATGTGTTGCAGGAAGAGCTCTTGCTTCCCAAGTTTCTCCAAATCAAGTTGGAGTGCAGTAGTATCTGATATTCCATGTTTAAGCCCCACCTTTTTAGGGCAGTGAGGAAGAGGTTCAAAAGTTTATCGGTGCAGAAATCTTCTCTTTCTCTTTGTGATCAGTGAACTTCAACTATAAACTATAAACCAAAATCTAGTTATTTTCAGAATAAAGTAAACTCAGAAGTTCAGAAAGTCAGGGATGACTTTTCAAATTGTCATTCTATTGAATAAGCCTGTCTTGAACTTTAAAAAATATGAATGTGCATATATGTATATATACATATATATATATATATATATATATGCATTACTTGTGTGCCTTCAGATGTTTCCTCTTTGTCTCTCCTCCTCTATTAAAGCGTATGTGGCAGGCAGATTTGGCCAAGATGACTCCACTGGATATGCGGCTTTCCATCTTGACAAGAGCTATGGAGAGGCCTTCACGCTCTCCATGTTTGTTCGAACACATCGTCCATCGGGCTTGCTTCTAGCTCTGGAAAATGGCACTTGCCAATACATCCGTGTTTGGCTAGAGCATGGCAGACTAGCAATGCTAACTCCAGGTTCTCCCAAATCGTTAGTAAAATTTGTTCTCAGTGATGGAAATGTCCACTTGATATCTTTGAAAATCAAGCCAAATAGAATCGAACTGTATCAGTCATCACAAAACCTAGGATTTATTTCTGCTCCTACGTGGAGACTCCAAAGAGGAGATGTCCTCTACATTGGTGGACTGCCTGACAGACAGGAGACTGAAGTTAATGGTGGATTCTTCAAAGGCTGTATTCAAGATATAAGGTTAAACAACGAAAATCTGGAATTCTTTCCAAATTCAACGAGCAACGCAGCCCAAGATGCAGTTCTTGTCAATGTGACCCAAGGCTGTCCCGGAGACAACCTGTGTGAGGTAGGATTATTCATACCAACTATGTCCATATTGTGTGCTAAAAGTTTCATTTTATTAAATAGATAATTTATTATAACTGTTCTTTGTATGTGAATATGGTGTTACTGACCCACTAGCTGTAGAATAATGCTTCATCCATACTTTCCCAGCAGGACTCGGGGATTTATGTTGAGCCATGAAAGTGTGGCCTTGATCCTATTGCCATTATGGTCCATTTAACCAACCAAAATAACTACGTCTTCTACAACCACATGACTTAAGAATAATTGTATTTTAATTCCCAAATTCTTAATGGCATCCCAGAGGTTTAACTGAATTAATTCATTTTGAAGATACCATTAACTTTATCTTAAATGCCCACCTACCATTGTTTTGAACATCTACTAAGTCAATAAGGAAAAAAAGTCTGAGAGGTAACTTCCTTCTGGGAGTTGGATTTGAAATTTTCTGTAATATAATTACTCAGAGCCCATGCTTTACTTTGTATATTTTGTATGCTCTTCTGAAAGCTACTTCAGTACGTGAATTTGTCAGCTCTGCATGAGCTTTCAGAGGAAAAGAAGGAAAGGCATTTATATCTGTTGAACATTTATTGAGCTCCAACTATTGCCATGTACTGGGCTTGCTTCTAAATATATAAAAATGAACCATTGTAGCATTACTATAGGGGCACCTCCAATGTGCCAGGTGCGATTTTCCATGGATCAATCCATTTCATTCTGTGGAAGGACTACTGTGCAAAGCAGGCATTTTTATTCTCTCCATTGATGTTATTTACAGAAAAGGAAATTGGCGTTTAACAAGGTTGGGTCACTAGCCTAGATCACATGTTAACAGTGGAATGGGCATAAATAAAGACGGAGCTCTCAGAAATTCCTTTATCAATACTTCCGTTTTGAACACTTTGTGAGAAACCTTGTGAGAACTCAAATTATGATACGCTTCTGATTCAGAGGCAGAACTGGAGGGGAGATGGTGTCACTCCTCTGGGGATCCAGAGGATCCAAGTACCAACTTCCCTGTTTGACTGTTGATAGAATCTTGGACAACGAAAGGGACCTCAGTTTCCTCACCAGTAAAAACAGGAGGAAAAGTCTCTAACTCAAACTATCATTAGTGACAGTGAAAGTGCCTGGTAATTTATAAATTACAGAGAATATAATTACACCTTTGAAAATCCTCTTTGTGCTCCAGGAGATCAGTATTGTATATTTTTCTTTATTTCCCTTTTCCTCTCTCTCTCGATGGTAGCAGTAAGTTTTATTCTATTTATCAGCCAATGGATATAAAAAGTTCGAAATGTAAATATGTAGGAAATTAGCATTCACAGATTAACAGGGTCTTTTCCATGTTTAGTCGCCGGCGCTTCTAATGCCTTTGACTTATTGTCTGCTCAGCCCAACCCCTGTCACAACGGAGGCATCTGCTACCCCCTGTGGGACGACTTCTCCTGCTCCTGCCCTGCGAACACAGCCGGGAAAGCTTGCCAGGAGGTTCGCTGGTGTGAACTCAGCCCGTGTCCTCCCCGGGCCCAATGCCAGGGGCTGCCTCGAGGATTTGAATGTAAGTGCACTTCAAACTTATCACCATCCAGTTCAGCTGGGCATTTCAGTTGTTCCATGAGTCAACCCAGAAAAAGAATACAGACAACCCCAGTTCAGCAGAGAAATGTGTAGCTGCTTCTCCCTGCGCGAGTAGTGGTATAACAAACCTAATGGGAGTGTAATAAGCCAGAGTAGCCTCATCCTGCCCCTGGGTTTCTGAGTGGGAAACGGCGGTCATAGCAGCACCAAGCCTAGATCCTTGATCATTTAAGACTAATTTCTAGAGAAAGAATTAACCGGGTGATGTTTGGCTTTTCTTTTCTCGTTACTGGCAATACAGAGTGAAAGTGCCAGTGTGAGCACATTGTCATTGGTTAACTATGAGGCTTCTGGCAACTCATACGTCTCCATGATCTAAAGCTTCCTCTGTAAGAAAAGGATAGAACGTCTACTTGATAAGTAGGTAACTGTGGGTGTGTGTGTGATGATTATATGACCTCGTGTGTAGAGAGCCAAGCGCAGTAGGCACTCGATTGGTGTTGGCCATGAGTATTTCCCTCAATCTGAATGGTTTTCCTGCCCAAATTCAGTACTACTGAACACAATTTCCCAAATGTTAGCAATTTGAATACTATCTTTACAATTTTGACAGGTCTACGTGGTAGCCACACTATTATTTATAGTATGCCTTTTCTTCTAGTTCAAATAATGCACAGTTCAGTCTATAGCCAACCGTCTATGTTCGCACTCAATTCTAATCTCTTCCCCTTGTTCAAAGATTTTGCTTCTGAAATTTTTCTCTCACCCGCCAGCATCATCAGTTTTCCCCTCAGTATATAAACATACTGTCAAATTTCCTCATTACAAACTATTTCCCTTGATATCCCTCCCATCCCCACCAGCTACCATCCCATGTTCCTGCTTCCTTTCATAGTGGGAGAAACCCTCTAAGAGTTGTCCTCAATGTGCATCCGATGTCTTTCTGTCCAGTGTTCTTTCACCCCAGCAGTTAGCTCCCATGCGCCATCACCATCTCTACCCTGAACTCTCTCAGTCCAGAGCTTCACAGGGGCCTCATCCCTCCATTCCCTTTTCTACCCAAGTGCCCTCTTCCCTGGCTTTACTTTTCTTCATGTCTCTAATCATCCTTGGATGTTTTGTTACACAGGTATTTGTTCACTTGTTCATCATCTTTTCCTTGATGGAATATAAGTTTCAAAAGGGAAGGAGATTTTCTGTCTGATTTCCCACGTTACTCTTAGCACTTAGAATAGTGCCAAACATGTAGGAGGTTGTCAGTAAATATTTGTTAAATAAATATATATTTTTCTTCAATTTAGCTCAGTATTTTCACTTAACTGCTCTAGACTTAAATTACATTATCTTCATACAATTAAAAAAATACATAAAATACCTTGGAAAACACTGCACTAAAATAATGGCCTGGAGCTAGGGGTTGACTGACCTGAGGCCCAAATCAACAAGCAAGCCCCCAAGTGGCTGAGAATGAGAATACAGTTACTCTTATGTTTCTGTATTTTAAAACCATATGTCAAAATGGCGTGTGAAATGTATTGCACAGTGTATGTACTTGGGGGGCAGTTTCTAAAAGAATGCACATACTCTTATGGTTCATATTTAAGAAATAATATGCTACACACATGAGTAAAGCATGATGAATTTGCGTAAAGAATGAGATCAGGCCTCTAATATGACACAGAACTTTAATGGCACCTTTTCCATTTCTCTGCCCTCTGAATTGCTTGTTTAAAATAGTTTACTACTTATTAATTTTACTGTTAATCTTTTGACAGAAATACTAAAGTTCTCAGTCCCAGTTATATTCTACAATGGGGTTTAAATCATTTTGAACATTTTCACAGGGAAAAAAAGAATAGGGTTTCTAAAAACAGTGGTGGTCCAAGAACCATACCCTGGGTGCGTATTGCCCTCCGTCTCCACATAAAGGATTTGGATGCCCCACGTCAGAAAGGCGTGAATGATCTTCACTGCTACTGCATGGCCACTACAGAAAGTGGAAAAAGTTTGCCTCTGACCTTTCAAAAAGTTTCAGTAACATTTTTTTAATTATGTCTTATCTTAAGGGAGAAAATGTAAATTAGTAGGAGGGGTGAAATTTTCCTAACCGGTAGGTATAAACCCTAGCATTCACTTTTGCTATTTTGTATAATTTTCATTTGATGTGACCTCATGACACTATTGTATTTATTTCTAGGGAGATGTGTTGGGAAGATAGTTCTGCTAGAATAACATACTCTTGAGAGTATAGCTCGTGCATTACCCCGAGTTTGCCCTTAGTACTTAATCATTTCTATCTCTGTATCCTATCCGAAAACAGACAATTAAAAACTACAACCCACCTTAGATACAGGTGTGTTTATTATGATAAAGTTCCCTGAAGAAAAGGCAAAGTATAAATGTTAACGTGCACTGCGGTTTTTACTCAGATCACAAGAAGTGATTTCCATGTGCTCAGTCGGTCAATGAAACTAGTTTATACAGCATGACAGACAGTATTCTTCCTTCAGGAGTTGGAGGGCTAATGAGATTTGTCATGTTAACATTTATTCAAAAACATGTAATGAGACACTTCTTGCTCTTTTCCTGCCTAATCCCAACCCCAAATTTGCTGGGAAAAAACACCACAGTCAAAAGCAATAAAATCAAGTGAAATGTTAATCCAGTCAAATGATACACTTGAATGATACCCTTGAATTTACTCCTGCTGTGGTTTCTAATCATTATCTCACTTTTCAGAATTAAGGATTGAGTTATTTTTATAGATTATTCATTTAGTAATATTTACTGAGCACCTGTTTTCTGCCAGGCAATGTTCCCTGCATCGGGTTTAGTGAGAACCTAGACAGAGAAGTTCCGTGATCTCGTAAAAGCTCATGTTCTAGTGAGGAAAGACAGACAAGGAGCAAGTAGGAAAGTTAACAGTATAATTTCAAATAGCTACAAGATGCTATGAAGAAAATAAAGCTGAGTAATTAAAAAGAGAGTGGGTTGCGGGGGGTGGGAAACATTTTCACTTGGATAGTTGGGGAAAGCATCTCGGAGGAAGTGACATCTGAGCGCATATTTTGTTGAGAAAGAGTCCGGTATGGGAAGATCGGGGGCCAATATCGTGTCTAAGTAACCGCAAATGTAAAAGGCCTGGTTTGGGAACAAGCTTGGCGTCTTCAAAAAATAGCAAGAAGTTTTTGTGGCTATAGTACGTGCATGAGGAAGGGTGGCAGGAAATGGGATTGGAGAGTTAGGGGTCGGGTCACATAAACTCTGTCCGCCATGTTTAGGATTTAGGAATCCTTTCTAGATGTGATGGTAACCTTGGAGGTGTTGAGCTAAGGCATGGTTGGTACATTGCTCTGCAGAGCAATAGAAGCCAGGACACTGAGAAGTGGTTGGAATAGGCTGTATAATAAAGTGTTCGAGGTTGGGTGTGGTGACCCACACATGAGGTAAAGACAGTGTCTTAAGGTCAATTTCTACTGAAAGCTGGAAGGTAATGAGAATAGAGAATTGACTGCTGGATCAGTAACACAGAGGTCACCATGACCTTGACAAGAGCGGTTTCAGTGATGTGATGGGGAACAAGGCTGAAGGTATTAAAAAGAAAATGGGGGATGAGAAAGTTGAGACAAGGTGAATCTAAAACTATGTGGAGAAGTTTTGCTGGAAAAGGAACTAGAGAAATAAGAAAGCAACAGGGTAGTGCTCTTGGGTCTTGCCTGTGTTTTTAAGATTGAAGCAATTACAGCATATTCTTATGCTGATGGGAAGCAACAGAAAGGAGGGAAAATGATGATGCAGAACAGAAAGAGATTACGTTTAGAAGTAATATCTAAAAAAGGTGAAAATGAAAGGGACCCAAGGCGTGACTGGGAGAGTTGCCCTTGGATGTGTGCTGGAGCACCTACAGTTTCCCACCTGAGTAGGGAAAACCCACAGTAGGAATACACGCACAGCACTGCTGACACCTGATATGCGGGGGTCCCCCCACCAAGCAATTCTGCTACAGTAGCTGGGTGTCCTACGGGTCATCTCAATTTAATTCAACTCTGACACTATCCGCCCAGACATAGTGTCAGATCTCACAGGCTAAGGGCTCAGTCCCACTAGAAGACCCCCCACTGCACTTCAGATGCCAATCGCAAGCCCAGGTTGTCACCTGTGCTCCTGACCAATCAGCTATAAATCTGAGGCTCCCACGACCCCCGCCTCGGTTCAGTTAATTTGCTAGAGCAGCTTACAGAACTCGGGGAAACCCTTAATTGTTTACCATTTTATTAAAGGATATGATAAAGGTCCCAGATGAACAGCCAGATGAAGAGATACATAGGGCGAGGTCTGGGAGGGTCCCCAGTGTAGGAGATTATTTCCCGAGGAGTTGGGGTGCATGACCGTTCCAATGTGGGTATGTTTAACAAGTTGGAAGCTCTCTGAACCCCATGCTTTTGGGATTTTATGGAGGCTTCCTTATGTAAGCATGACCAATTATTAACTGCATTTTCTGCACTCTTCCTTCTCTAGAGGATGGGCTGGGGCTGACAATTTCAAGCTTCTAATCATGACTTAGTCTTCCTGATGACCAGCCTGCATCCAGGCTCCACCTAGGAGCCCACCCAGAGTCGCTGTCTCATTAGAACAAAGATGCTCCCAGTGCAGTGCTCTTATCACTTAGGAATTTACCAGGGTTTTAGAAGCCCTGTGTCAGGAACCAGGGGCAGAGAACAGGAGATCTCTTTTCTATTATTGTACAGATGAGAATAAGGACAATGCATCCATTGTAACAAATGGAAAGCAGAGTGGATCCAGATTTGTTAGGTTTACAGATTCGGTGGGAAACTGAAGCAGTTCTTCTTTCTCCTGTTTTCTCAAGAAAGTAACAAAGGAGATCATAAACAGAGAGGGTTCGATATTTTAAGAGATAAAGCAAGCTGTGAACGAGTGATCTTGTGGAATTGGAAAAACAGTCTAATAGAAAAATGCAATAAGATTGCCCAAAAGTGCTGTGGTCCCATGTGGTCACATGTATGTGGGCGTATATTAGAGCAGAGGGTACGGTTGTATAATTTTGCCCAACCACAGGATGCTACTTGGAGTTAGGCACAGATTGGTAACTCAGCACATGACTAGAGTTTGCCAGGTAGTAAATTAGTCATTTAGAATGCTACTTTTAAGTGCCTCCCGGTCAGTTTACTCAGAAGCCAGACTCCACTGTTAATTAACTGTGTCACTTGAGGCCCAGTTTATAGCTAGACTTGTGAGTTCTTTGTGCTTGATTTCTTTATGTGCAAAATGGGTAACCAATGCTTTATTTGTGGGAGCAGCTGTAAAATAACATTAGAAGGTACTGCATTTCAGTGGAAAAGAAATAAATGATTTGGGTTTTGGCATCTGACCACCCAAGTTTGACATTCTGGCTTAATTATCTATTAGCCACTTGACCGTGAGAAAATTACTTAACCTCTGTGAGCCTCACTTTCTTCTTCTGTAAAATAGAGATGATAATAACAATGAACCTATATTCGAGAACTTCATATTAAAAAAATATAAAAGCAACTAACAGAGTGCCTAGCCTGTATCAAACAATCCATACATGACGGTAGTAACGTGATGATCATTAAAGGTACTTAGGCAAACATTACAGATTTAGTAAAGTTGCTGATTGGCGTTGCCTTCTCTCTTTAGGTATCGCAAATGCTGTTTTTAATGGACAAAGCAGTGAGATATTATTCAGGAGCAATGGGAATATTACCAGAGAACTCACCAATATCACATTTGGTTTCAGAACAAGGGATGCAAATGCGATCATATTGCACGCAGAGAAGGAGCCTGAATTCCTTAATATTAGCATTCGGGATTCCCAGTTATTATTTCAGCTGCAGAGTGGCAACAGTTTTTACATGCTGAGTCTGACAAGTCTGCAGTCAGTGAATGATGGCGCGTGGCACCAAGTGACTCTCTCCATGACAGACCCACAGGCCCAGGCTTCCAGATGGCAAATGGAAGTGGACCAGCAAACACCTCTTGTGACCAGCGCAGTGGCTACTGGGAGTCTCAGCTTCCTGAAGGATGATATAAACATTTATGTGGGTGAGCGAGCTAGTGACAACACGCAGGGCCTGCGAGGGTGTCTAAGTACAATAGAAATCAGTGGCATTTATCTCTCTTACTTTGAAAACGTTCATGGTTTCATTAATAAGCCTCAGGAGGAGCAGTTTCTCAAAATCTCTATGCATCCAGTGGTTACTGGCTGTTTGCAGTTAAACGCCTGCAATTCCAACCCCTGCTTGCATGGAGGACATTGTGAAGACACGTACAGTTCTCATCACTGCACCTGTCCCGTGGGATGGTCAGGGGCACACTGTGAACTCGACATTGATGAATGCCTTTCAAACCCCTGTATCCATGGCAACTGCTCCGACAGAGTTGCAGGCTATCGCTGCAGGTGTGAGCCTGGCTACACCGGTGTGAACTGTGAATCAGATGTAGACAATTGCCAGAGCCACCTGTGTGCAAACGGGGCCACCTGCATCAGTGACACCAGTGGCTATTCTTGCCGCTGTCCTGGAAATTTCACAGGAAAATTCTGCAGGTGAGTATAATATCCACATAAAGTGTGTTTCGAGCTGTGTTCTACATCTTCAAACTGGAAAGCTCTCCGCCCAGGTATGAACATACAGGCTGTGCTGAGCAGGGGGTGACAGTCAACGGCCATCACAGTTTGGTCTTGCGAAGACAGGATCTCACCTGCTGGCATGTTCTACAAAGAGGAAGGGCAGGGTTTGGACCAGACTTTGAGCAAAATGTTTTCTCAGTCATCTCTGTTAGAATGTCTCAGGAACTACAGCCCCAGAGTCTGACAGCCTTAAGGCCTCAGGAAACAAATACATTTACAACAAATGCAAGAGCTGAATTTTAGTATTGTTGGAGGAAGCATGACTCCTACCCCTAAGAGAATACTCTGGGGTATTTCAGGCAGGTAAACTCATTTAATTCTGAAAAGACTATGTTAAAGTATAATTTCAAAAGGGTGAAATCATGACTCTCAGAATGAACGTTTTGATGACTTTGTCATTAATTAATGAGGGAACCAGTAAGACAAAAATCAAAATGTCAAAGAATAATCTAATCATATACATAAATATGTCCATATAGTATATATACACACTTGTAAATAGGGATGAGGAAATGAATTTACCAATAAATGCAAAATTTTTTAATAGCCTATAGGGCAACAAAATTAGTACTCGAACCACGCTATTTCTACAGTGTGACAATGGACTGTATCGCTTCAAATTCATTTGCACTTCAATGAACAAGACCCATTAGTATTACTATAATTTTCTACAACTTACAGAGTTGTGAACTAGCTTGGTAAAGAAAACCTGAGTCATACACATTAGAAAAATCAGATAATCTTAGAGGGTCTTTTATATAACACCCAGCATTCCACTGAAAGAATACCCAGTGATCTCTTTTGCCCATTTCAAAGCATTTCACAGTTTTTTCTAAAACTATAAAGCTTAGTTCTGGCAGTCACATCCGTTTCATGTAATATAAATAGAAACAGGAATGAATATTTTCCTGCCAAGTCACACTGCTTTAGTATTTCTATGTAAGTAGAATTCATTATTGTTTTTATAACTTGTTTTGAATTCACTAAACAATTGAGTTGTTATAGGCACGTGAGACGGTTATTTCTAGCAAGCAATAGATTCCAGAATGTGGACAGGAAGGCCTGGAGTTGGCTGGCAGCCTGCAGACATTACACTAATTCAGAAGTGGTACCTTAACTGGATGAATCTCCTGGTAGACAGAATAGGTAGCCACACCTGTAAGATGTATTTGTCTCCATAACATTTATTGCTGTTCAGAGCCTGTGAAGGCATGACACAGGGTTAGGTGCTGAGTGTTGACATTCCAATAAAACGTCACTTCTCATGAGTTAACCGACTCATTGGCCAACAGCTAATCTGAATGCTTACAAGCAAAAGACATTCAGGATCAAAATTAATATTACTGCCATGGTGACTTTGGATAAGTAAAATAAACAAATATGCCCCAGTAACCAGTGCTGCAGTATCTTTTCTGCCTAATTCATCAAAGTCAAGTTTTCAAAGATTAAAGTTTTGATTCAAAAGTACTTTGTAATGAGGTTCAAAATTGTTTATTAAACATATGATGTATGCAAAGCTTCATATTTGCATTGCTAATTGACGTCTTTCAATGCTGGTTGCCGCTTTTGGCTCCTTTGAAAAGCCCTTAGGATATTTTCTTTCTTTTTTTTTTTTTAACATCTTTATTGGAGTATAATTGCTTTACAATGGTGTGTTAGTTTCTGCTTTATAACAAAGTGAATCAGTTATACATATACATATGTTCCCATATCTCTTCCCTCTTGCATCTCCCTCCCTCCCCCCCTCCC